TTTCTTTAGGTGTACAGATTTTGGTATGTTTATCTTATATATCTAATATCCACTTATGAGTGAGTATATACTATGTGTGTCTTTCTGCTTCTGGGATACCTCACTTAGGATGATCTTTGGTACAGAGCTATACAGAGAATTCTCAATAGAGGAATATTGAATGGTAGAGACACACTTAAATGATCAATGTCCTTAGTCATCAGGGAAATGCATATCAAAACAACCCTGAGATTTCACCTTACACCCATCAGAATGGCTAAGATCAAAACCTCAAGTGACAACACATGTTGGAGAGGATGTGGAGAAAGGGGAACCCTATTCCACTGCTGGTGGAAATGTAAACTTGTACAACCACTCTGGAAATAAATCTGGCGCTTTCTCTGACAATTAGGAATAGGGCTTCCTCAAGATCCAGCTATACCACTCTTTGGCATATATCCAAAAGATGCTCAAGTATACAGTAAGGAAATTTGCTCAATCATGATTGTAGCAGCTTTGTTTGTAATAGCCAGAATCTGGAAACAACCCAGATGCCCCTCAGTTGAGGAATGGATACAGAAGTTGTGGTCCATCTACACAGTGGAATATTACTCAGCAATAAAAAACAAGGAAATCATGACATTTGCAGGCAAAAGTATTATTTTTAAAGTATGGGTGTTATCCCTGTGTCTATCTGTGCACCATCTGTGTGCCTGGTTCCCCTGGAGGCCAGAAGAGGGTGCCAGTTTTTCTACACCTGGAGTCACAGATGTTGTGAGCTCTGGGAATCGAACCTAGGTCCCCTGGAAGGTCAGCCAGTGCTTATTACTGTCAAGCCATCTCTCTTGCCCGCTTGACCCTTTGCTTTTAACAGCATGTTTTTGAAATGTCATTGGTATCTTTGTGTGGCCCTGTGATATCACCAAGGAATCACCTTTATTCCAAAGGTCTCTGCGTCAGCCTCTTTACTTTTCTTCCACGGATTTCCTGAGAGGCAGTTTTGTGTTTTCTGATAGGTAATAGGCCATCTAATCTACTCGATGATAGATAAGTGATTTTATCGGCTACTTTGTATCACAGTCCCTGTAAGTGTTTCGTAATCAGGGCAGTAAATTGGAGTCACTCCTTTTTAATCAGTATACCAGTAACCACACCATTGCCACTTCTGTTAAGAGCATCAGCAGCAGGCAGCAGTGTCCTTTTGTTAACCCAGTCACATGGCCAAGCCTGTCCGTTGTTTTATTGGGTCCTTCTTTTTACAGTGCTGAATAAGTCAGAATTAGCTCCACCTGAAAACTTATTACACTGTGTTGCCAAAGTTTTAAAAATATACTCAACATCCTTCCATTTAAACTAATTGTTGGGCATTCGATTTACCGTTAAGCTCATGAAAAGTGGATATTTTTATGGGCTTCTTTTGACCTAAATATTCAGTTATTTGATTTTTACTCATGGTAATCCAGTTGCTAGTATTCTTTTTTTTTTTTTTAACTTTTAGATTATTTTATTGTATGTATGTGAATGTTTCACCTACATATATGTATACCACAGGCATGCCCAGTGTCTGTGGATTTCGGAAGTGGGCATCAGATCCCCTGGAACTAGAGTTACAGAATGTTATGGATCGCCATGTGAGTGCTGGGAATTGAATTTGGATCCTCTGCCAAAGCAGCCTGTGCCTTTAACCGCCAAGCCTTCTTTCCAGCCCCTTTTGGATAGCATTCTTACAGCTCTCCATAAATCTGTCTAGCGTGCAGCTTACAAATCATTCTGAAGTTAGCCTCAGTTTGTCTTGAAGAGGGGCCTTCGTCTTCTTAGGGCCTGAAGCCAAGGTTTGGTAAAAGGAGCCTGACATTCAGTTGCCCTTTCACTGCACACCTGCACGGAATTCCGTTGCTGTGTCAAGACTGCAGGCTTGCACCTAGAATACCTCTCCAGATAGAGAACGTAGGTGCACCCAGGACTTTTTATGTACCAAGTGCTGAAACTAAGTGAACTGATGATAATAGTGTTCGAGGGAGTACTCTTACTGTTTCATACAAGGAAGGCATGATGACGACACTGACAGCATATTCTGGAATCTGTTAGGTAAAATTATTATTATTTTTTAAATTAGCATGGTTGCTATTTCCTAAGTATTCTCCCATTGTTTTTTTTTTTAATTCACCTTAACTTTAAAACTATTTTTTTTTTGTTACAAAAAAATGGATCCCCCCCCCCCCCCCGTTTGTGTTAGGTTATCAGAAATGAGAGCTGCAAAGGCTTCCCGAGGCCCCGAGCAGTGGAATATTAACTGCTGTGTTAGCATCATGTTTCATTTGCTTCTCAGCTGTGCTGGGTCCTGGGAGAAACAGCTGCGGCTTTGCTCCACCCCCACAGCATGTCAGTAAGGCCATTTTCTTTTTATTTACTCAAGTTCAGTTTCTCTTCTGCGTGGACGCTGACTGTGACCATGTTTTCATTATGAGAATAGCTGGAGCTCTCGGCAGCCCTGCACTTCTGCAAATCATTCCCCTGCATCCGAGCCTGTGACTTAGGAGAATCCCCTGGGAGCTGTCTGTCTTGCTTTCTCTGTCACGAGGCACAGTGAAGACCTTCTTAATTCTGTCTGACTTTCCCAAGGAGGAGAAGAGGAACAAAAGGAAACGCCGTTGAGATTTTGACCTGAGACACATAGTAGATAAATTGTATATCTCATCCTGTAGGAATTTAGATAAGATGTCAAACGGAGTCACGCCATCTGATTTATAGTGCTCTCGTAGAAATACATGCAAACATGATTTTTCATTAACTTTATAAAGCAGTAGATCATAAATGCCACGCTATCTTCGCTGTCTTCGCTGTCTCTAAGTTAATGCTGTAGAAAGGTTAGGTCTTTAATTCCAGGTATGAACCAAGCCTGGTGTATAGACAATCATGGTTTAGGACAGTGGTTCTGAACCTTCCTACCGCTGTGACCCTTTAACACACTTCCTCATGGTGTGGTGACCCCCAACCATAAAACTGTTTTCATTGCTACTTCATGACTGTCATTTTGATGCTGTGATGACTCATAATGTAGATACCTGAAATGCAGGATGTCTCATGTGAGACTCCCCAAAGGGGATGAGACACAGGTTGGGGACGGCTCTTTTAGTCGTGAAGCTGGTCTGCAGGAATAGAATTATTTTGACCAGCTGTTGTTCATCCGTTGAAATGTTCAGTTCATTGGCTCCCTCCTGTCTAAACGTAGCTGGCTGTATGGAAATCGGAGGCCTCCTGCGCCGTGCAACGCACCCACCGTGACTGTCAGCTTTGGGAGATGCCTTCAAGCCTTCTCTCGCCTCCGTTTCTCCTTTCTTCTCCGGTTCTTACGTCCGGTCCCCTGTGAGCTCCTCAGAAGAAGTGGTCACCTGCTTGTGCTGGCTGTCATTTCTACTGGCCCTTTTCCTCAGGTCATAGGGATGCCAGCACGTGAGTTAAATGTATAGAGATACTCAGTGTGAATCAAACATGTAATTCGATACTGGGATTTTTTTTTTTTTTAAACAAGGTACAAGTTAAGTCCTAAGTATTGTGGCAGAGACAAATTGGCTCCACTTTTGGCTGATAACTAATCTTTGTAAATAATCTTAAGGTGCCACTATGCAAGTTGGGGTGTTCTTCTTTTAGGCACTGAAAAGAGGACTTTGTTCACATCGATAGGAACCACCTGTTTCACAAAACCTTTTTGTGTACTCAGGGACTCAGGTGTGTGGTAGCTTGTAGAATTCATACTACCACAGGTAAAATTGAAGGCCCTTTCTAGCTGTTCTGTGGGGACCATTTGAGAGCATGTGCTCCGGATTGTCACGTGTGCCTTACTCAGCTCTCTGAACATCCTTGACCTTGTGCTAACATCAGTGCCTTGTTGACGAGATATGGGCCCATTGATAAATGAGAATATGTAAACCTCTTCAGACAATGCACTTAACTAGTGAATGCCTCTTTAAGGGTGTTTTGTTTTTTTTTTCCTATACAATCCAAGTTATATGATTGTTTACTAATTCCTAGTATAATCCAACACTTTATTGTTATTTGGAATTTCCTAATTTTTTAAGTGCTCATGATTGCTCTAACTGCTGAACAAACCCAGCACATAACACTTTCTTAACGAAGGTTCTCACTTTTGGCTTCTTTAAAGCTATTTGATCCAAAAGCTTATGGTTGGCTTGAGTTCTCAGTGTCCTTCACACTGGGCCAGCCCCTTTATCTGTGTCAGGGTCCTGATGACCACACAGGGTTAGACGTGGCGAATGACCCACATCCTGGCCTTGGCTTCTGTATCCCCCAGCACTGCAGTCACTAATACTGTGGCCAGCAGTCACCTGTGGCTGCCGACCTTATGAGCTGTGGCTCATCCGTACTGAGATATGTATTTGTAATACATCCCGAGTCCCCAAGACTTAGTCCAAGAAAAATGTAAAATACTTCACTGGAAGTCTTTAATATGGACCGTGTATCCAAATGTTAATGTATCGTTATGGTTTAAATTATACTATTATAAAATAGTTTACTGATAATTTTTAATATAGACTGTGTATTCAAATGATAATGTACTGTTAGGGATTAAATTGTATTATTGTAATTAACTTCGCTTGTTTGTTATTAGTTAAATGTATCTACTGGAAAATTTTATTTGACTCCCATTAAATGTCTGTCAGATACTGATTTTTCCATATATTTTAAAACAGAAAATGACTGCCCTCATTTGAGTCTCCATCAGTTCCCTGAGAGACCAGCAGGGTAATGAGCTCCTTAGCTACACCATAGCATTTAATTGCAGTGTAGAGGCTGGTAATTTTCCATGCTAGACACAGCCTAAAGCACTCTGAGACCTCGCCACATGGGTGAAATAGTTGCTGAAAATTTTGGTAGTAGAGAGTGTTCAATAATCTCAGACCTGCGAATGAGCCCCCAGTGCTGAGTATCGTCACTCCTGTTGCTGTGTGTAGCCAGGGACATTTTTGCTTTACTTATTTTCTTTACTCATTTATTTGCAGTGCTGGAAAACTTTGACCAGACAATTGTCTGTCCCACCTTTGGCTCACTGGAGAACCAGCAGGATTTCCGAACTCCAGAGTTTGTAAGTACTTGATTTTAATTTTTTTATTTTTAGTATTTATTTGTTTGTTTCAGTTTCTACTCTTCAGTGGTTCAGTCCGGCGTAGGACCCCTCAGTGACGGTCTCAGTCTTGGTGTCTCCGGGGAGCAGGTCAGCTGAACTTGGGCGTCCCAGCATCATGAGCTCTGGGTTTGCTTTCACATTCTCTATGTGATTAGCGACAGGAAGCCATTCCGTAGTAAGAGAGCGAAGAGATGTTTGCAAAATCTCCTGCTTTGCTGGCCGATTCTGTTGGTGTTGGTTTCTGCTCTCTGTAACCTTGGAAGAAGGTCTTGATTGAGCAGAGACGATGCTTTGGCCAGTGCTGTTTTCTACCATGGAGCAGCCTGTTTCTCCTTTCCTTCGGGAACCTCAGTGATACAACCTGGTAGGACTGGGAATATTTTACTGGTTGTGTTCTACCAAGATGGAAACTAATGTCCCCACTCAGTCAGACATTGCAGATTAGCCACGGCTCCTACCCTCAAGGAATTAAAGCTCGTATTAGATGCTACTGTGATTTTTATTAGTGCCTTGTTTAAAGAAAATTAAGCATGTAGGATGCCTGGCAGGATGTCTTTCAAAGCAGATTTTATGTTAGCCTCCTAAATGCTTGACTCTGACTCATACTTTGGCGAGACCAGAGAAGAGGGAAGGCCTGGCAGCTTTCATCCGGATTTACCCAATTTTTCCCTTTACTTTGGCTATCATTTGTTTTCACAATGTGTGTGTGTGTGTGTGTGTGTGTATCTTGGAGGGTTTTATTTTCGAAGCATGATATACCTTCACCACTCCAGTAGTTGTCAGGGTATGACCGCATCACTGATTTCGTGCTTTTCCTCTCTCTCACTCCGTATGGGTTGCCCACTCTGTTGAGCCAACAGTGCTCTGGACTGACAAGGATGGCACACAGAACTGTACCCACAGCCCCATTTCATTTCAAAGTGGGGCTGCCGAGGTGCCCTCGCAGATGGCCCACCGTGGGAAGCACTGGGCAGCGGTACAGGGACCTGGCAGTCAGTGACTCGCGCCACAATCAGCGTGAGTGTCGGTGAAGGGGGGACTGTCAGTGTCCTCCATAGCCCCACGCCGTGAAGGGCAGGGCGGTTTGATGCAAAAGCAGGTGACATTGCTACAGACCCAGAGAGCCTCTCAACTTTTCTTCTTCTGAACGGATTTTAGCTGAAACTTTATAAAGGATCGTAACTAACGTAACAAGGGTTGTGCACAGCAAGGTGTTGGAGCGCCTGGAAAACACGCATACTTTACACCCATTCTCTGCGTGAAGAGGGACGTTTCCTCCTCAGCGGTGTGTTAAGGTTCAAGTGCCTGGCTCGCCCCAGCAACACCTGCACGGGGGGTGGGGGGGTGGGTACTGCAGTAAACTGGCCATCATCTGCCACTGTCAGCATTAGCGTCTGGACTCTCACGGTTTTCATATCCAAAGTTAGAAGACTGGCTAGTGTGAGATCAGATGACCACAGGCGGGATCTAGAATCACCAACTACGGTTGTCTTGGAGAAACTCATCTCAGCCGAGGTTCTGTGGATGTAGAAACCGCAAGGAGAATCTTCGCTTTAAGCTTTTTACTCCTGGGCCTCAGGAATCCCTGACAGTCATTTCATTAGACTATGCTGCTGACACAGTGCAGGCGATTGCCCTACAGCGTACTTGACAGCACTTCTCTGTGTCCCTGTGTGCCGGTTAGTTTTTGGTAACTCCACCCAAAACCGAAGCACACCCCCAGAGAGGGAATCCTAGTTGAGGAATCTCCTCCATCAGATTAGTCTACAGCTGTGTCTGTAAGGCATTTGCTTAATTGCCAATTGATGAAGGAGGACCACAGTCTGCTGTGGCCAGAGACCTCCCCAGGCGGGTGGGCATGAGCTGTAGAAGGAAAACAGCTGAGGCAAACCAGTAAGCTGGTCTCTGCTACAGTTCCTGACTTAAGTGTCCTGTCCTGTCTTCCCTCAGTGAGGAACTGTTCCCTGAAAGTGGAGGATGGAATGAAATACACCCTTTGCTTCCCAGGTTGCTTGTGATCAATGTTTTTACCACAGAAGCCGAAGGCCTGGTTACTGTCTGTCTCTACACCTCCTTACTATCCAGGAAGGAGTTATTTTTAAAACATAGTCCTTAAGTTCATTCTTCGAGCTTTGCATATATTACGTATATCCATTATGCATGTATGCGTGTGCATATAAATACAGTATATATAACGCATTTGACCACATCCACTCTCTACTTCCCCTTAAGCTCCTCCCTGACTCACCAGCACCACCACCTCTCCCTCTAAACTACACTTCCTCCTTTTCTTAACCGGCTGAGCCCAGTTCCTGCTTCCAGCCTGCGCACAGGTGCAGGGCCAGCCACTGGTGTGCATGGGCAACTTTCAGGGAGTGGGCACATCCCTAAAGGAAACGGACTCTCCCGCAGGCAGCAGCCCACTGCTAATAACTCCCCTGGCAGCATGGGGCCTCAGGCCAGACCTTCCTGTCCCCTGCCTTACCTGTCGGTGATGCCCTGACACGCAAGTTCTGGTGAAGCCTGTCAGTAGCTGCTCGCGTACGCTTCCCAGCACCACCGTTGCCGGCGCCCCTGGCCCGGTCGTAAACATACGCTAGCATACGCCGTCCCCAAGGTAAACAAACAGGGTGGAGAGGGAGGCCCCTCGAGAACGGGGACACTCCGGGGAGCCTCGTGTTATATTTAAGAGAAGCCTTGTCTGTAGGCCGCAGGGTGGGGTGTTGGAGAGGACAGAGCTCGCTTGCCGAGGCAGGTGAGCCAGGCTGATGCCAGGACATCCGGTGAGTTGATGCAAACCAGCTATTCAAATTGGGGCCAGCGCTGGGACCTGGGAGCTGGAGGACACCATGGCAGAGCACAGTTGCAAACAATACCGGGAAAAATAAAAGAAGCTGAAAAAGTCATTTTTGTTTTGTTTTTAAAGATTTTTTTTTACCCCCTTGGCATTTTTGGAGGCTCAGCTGCAGTTTGCTGGACTGAAGGAAGGCATGCAGCTTGTCCTCGGACCTTAGTAGCAAATAGTTGAGGTTTTAGGCATATTGAGAGCTGGTGGTTTTTAACGTCACGGTGTCTTTATTTGCTTTTCGGTTTGCTTCCTTCCGCACACCTGTTGCAGAGCAGCTGACTGGCCTTGGTCACTGGAATGAACGGCTCAGCTCATGTGCGCCGTGGTTCTCAGGCTGAGCCAGGCTGTTCCAGAGTCTACGTTAACTGAGTAGATTGCCACCCCTGTCGGCTGCCCGTGGGCTGGAGACGGTGGCAGCTCCGCTGACCCTCCACCCTCTCTCCTCTGCTCTGCTGCCTCACTCCTACACACGCAGGTGCCCGTCCTCACCTTCTCATACTCCCTTCGCAGGCTGAAGCCACAAGGTTAGCCAGAGAGCTGGGACATTAGTGGGGTGAACACAGATAGTGGCGGACAGAAGGCAAATGTGTTCTTGCTGTGTCAGACGTGTGGGAGCTGGGGACATGTTGAAACTAGAAACGGTGACGTAGGCCCTCTGTGGGGCGAGGCAGATGCGTTGGGAGGGAGCCACTAGGACGAGCAAGTGGCGAAATGCTGCTTTACAGAGGAACTTGGTGGTCTTGAGTGGTAGGAAACCATTTCAGTCCTGCTGCGGTTTCGCTTTAGTGAGAATAGTTACCATTTCATTGTGGGTGTTTTCCCCACACTGCTATCTTTAAAAAGGCAAACTTGCTGTCCGGAGGGGCCCGTGTGCTGTGGCGCTCGTGTGGGGGTCAGAGGACATCTCTGTGGAGTCAGTTCTTTCTCTCCACTTTCACGTTATGTTCCAGGGGATGGAACTCAGGCAGGCAGGCAGGCGTTCACGTCGGCAGCAAGTAGCTTTAGCCACCAAGCCAGTGTGCGTCGTTTTGCAGGGGTCCCCAGGCTGTTTTATTTTTCTCATTATCATCTGTTCTTTTCTATCAATGAAGTCTGATTCATCACATTCCAATTCCCAAAGCAGTTATATCATGATCTAGAGAAATGGTGGTGGTGTGAGGGATGGCTGTCATTTGAGAGTGGGTGAAAACAGACATGGCGGATTATAATTCCAGGGATGGTGACGGCGAAAAGGATGCTGGGAACTAAGTGCCCGAGCCTCAGTTCATCTAGAAGAGTTCAGACTCAGAAGTAGAGGGTGGAGCTGATGAGACGGCTCAGTGGGTAAAGGCACCAGCCGCCAAGCCAGGTAACCTGAGTTTGATCCTTCAAACCCAGGTGGTGGGAGGAGAGATCTGACTCTCACAGGTTGTCTACACACATACACACACACACACACTTCCACAAATAAATAAGTGTAAACATAAAACAATCAAACGAACCCAGCGGCTATGAAAATCGGCCACAGAGTTAGAACTCAGGATTGGTTCCGTCCCGATGCCAATAGAACGTAGAAATGTTCTGCCACCCAAATCCCAGGATGCCTAGGACTCTAGTGCCCCATCCAGTTGAGAGCTCTAAGGGATAAATTCAAACGCCTAGAGCGTCATGTCTGTCCCCATGGACTTCATCTCACTTCAAGTCGCAAGGAATTATATGTGAGGGTCGTGTTAGTTTCTAGACAGGCCAACTCTTGCCATTGACCCAGGAACTTAAAGTGGTCTGAGAGACTGAGACCACACAGTGGAGGGCCTGGGTGTGAAGGATCCCGATGTAGCATTACTACATCTGTCTGCGACCAGGAGCAATGTGGCATGATGGAGACGGAATGCTAGGGGACTGTTTTGTGATCTGAGCCCCACTGTTGCCTTTGCAGAACCTGAAGTTTGCATATAACCTCCTGGTTTCTTAGAGGCAGGAGCGATTTGACCACTTCTGATCTCATCTTAACTGGGTTCTTTTCATTGTTTAGCTTCTGCCAAATTTGGAGTAAATAATATCATTTGGAATGGCCAAAGAATATTACAGTAGGATAAACCAGGAAGATTAGAAGTCCCAGGACTTAGTAACT